TAAATCGGTTTTGAATCGATTTTCCCTTTTTTTTATAAAACTTATTATTTTTTTCCGAAATTAAATTATAAATATAAATAATATATATCTAAATAAAAATTAACATTCATACGTATCCATGGTCACTACTAACAATACATTAAAAAATTATCATTCTTTTATTTAATAATAATATATATATATTATTTTTTATTTAATACATAATATCTATTTTTATTTTTATTTAATAATATATATATAAAACCGTTTCGTTAACCGTTTTTTATTTTTTCGAACCGGTAACCGAACTAGAAATTAGGTTTTTAATTTTTCAAACCGTAACCGAACCGTTTTTTTTTTTGTTAATTTAATATATATATATTTGTAAAACCGGTTTCGATTAACCGCTTTTTATTTTTTCCCGAACCGGTAACCGAACTAGAAATTAGGTTTTTTATTTTTCGAACCATAACCGAACCCTTTTTTGGTTCAGTTGTTTTTACATTTTTTTGAACACCCCTAGTAATAAGTGGACACTTTGTAGGACTGAACACAAAGCCTCTGGATAATCTACCAAATATCTAAAGTTTTGTCATGATCTCTAATGTTAGGAATCTTAATATTCCGTTAATTTTTTGAAAATATGAAGAATTTTTGTATATATTCGTACCAAAGAGTTGACTGCTTAATATATCTCAATCTTATAGCATATAGAGTTGATGAATTGTCATTAATAAATGTGACATTCTAAATTCTGATTTGAACCATTTTAGTGCTATACATGATGATAGCCAATCTACTATACCTATAAGGTTAACTAGATTTCAATCTCAAATGTAATACTAACACAAGCACAACCCACCTACCTCAAAAAGCTTAGTGGAAACCCTAAAGGAGAACAAGGGATGGCCACATTTTGAATATAGTCTGATTAATTATGTGGGCACCATTTAGGTATTGCCTTTTCTATATAAGTATATCTAGCCTTTAATTCACCTCCGTCCATTCCCAACTTCAACTAGATATTTCTCTTCCCCATTATGAATCTTTTAAACAAAACAATCATATGTTTTCGGATTAAAAATGTTAGAAAAATTTCTTAATTATAGGCTAACATGATATATATATATATATTTTTTTTTTTTTTGCTTTAATAAAACCGGGTAAATGAAATGTTCTATAAGATACTGTTACTAGACTTATCGTGATAATAAATTATAGCCCAATACACTTCATTATTAAATAATTTGGATTGATGTATAAAAGTGTGGGCTTTCGGCTCGTAATGGGAGAGACCAGTAAAACGTTTATATGGTTAGGTCTATTTTCCGAAATGAATTAATGTACACTTTAGCCATTTGAAAGTATATTGAGAGCAGTTTTCGGAGAAGAAGACCGGTCAAAGATTTAACAAATCTCGCACGCATCATGGCTAAGACAAAATTCATAAAACCCTAAATGTGTTGATTCAATGCTCTCTTGTCTATGCATGATTCTATAATTATTTGGGTGTTGAATTTTTGTCTTCTATCTAACAAAAAAATCTAGAACACAACCAGCTATCTTATCATCAAAAGAATTTGTGTCATCTTTGATATATTTTTTTTTTTTTCTTTTTTTTTTTTTTTTTCCTTCTTTCTATCTGTTTTTCAGATTAATTGTGATCGACAATTAATAAATATAATAAATTACTTGGCACATATGCATTGATTTGTGACACCTTGTCAATAAAATTACTATATAAAAATAAGAGTCTAACATATTCTTTATCCTTTAAATACAAATTAAAGAGTGAGTTTGACTCTCCATATCTAGATAATCAAATTTTACTCTCAATTCTTATTTTAATTGATAAACTATAAGGCTCCGTTTGGTACATAGTTTGGGAATACTATTCTAGTATTCTCAGTAAAGTTAAACACAAAATGTGTGTTTGGTTCACTTATTATCAAAATATTATTCAAAATTATTCAATTTATTTTAAACCCCCTAAATTTGTTAATTTAACTAAACAACCCCAAATTTTTTTAAAAAATTGACAAAAACACCCCAGCAACCCACATTTACTAGATTCCTGCCACCACTGTTAGAAGCTAGTCGGAATCTGGTGTAATGACGCACTACCAGTTGAATCTGGTCGGTAGTGAGCCGATCTAGCCTTTTCCTTTTGCCATAGACAGTCGTCAACGACGACCAAGATATGGTTGTCATTGACCATTAATGACAGCCGTATCTTTGGTCGTCGTTGATGACCAAATGCGACAAATGGCTAGATCTAGCCGTCAATGGCTAGATCTAGTCGTAGATCTGGCCAGAAAAGGTCATATCGACGCATGATCGGCAAGATCTAACTGATTATGCGTCGATATGGCCACTCCGGCCACCCTCCGATGGTGGTGGCCGGTTGTCCGTATTTAATGAGTGGGTTGAGGGTGTTTTTGTTAACTTTGAATATTTTATTATAAGGGTGTTTAATAAAAAAATAAACATAAGGGTATTTTTGTTAATTTTTAAAATTTTACATCGTAATACCCACCAAATTTAACTTTTTTCAAAATATTATTTTAAAAGCTATCAAATAATAAACCAACCGGACCCTAAGTTTTTATGTATTTTATTTATTAATTCTCTCACCCTATTAAGTCTCTTTCTTGAAAATAAAGAATATCTTTATTAAATTTAAAGAGTGCATTGGATAATAAAAAATTTGTTTTTTATATATAAAAATTAAGGAAAATGTTATTTAGTTATAATACCATAAATTTTCTTTGTTTGACGACAAGACATTATTTAATGAGTAACGTTACAGTTATCGAAGGATGTGTACCGAATTCGTACACCGAATGACGTGATAAAATATTGACCGTTGATTCATTATAAGTTAATATTAACTGACGATCAGGATTTTATCATGTCATTCGATGTACGAATTCGGTATGTTATTTTCGATAACTCTACCATTTTTCTTATTTAATTACTAGATGTTGAAAACAGGCAGAAGAATAGTATCAATAAGGACTCCAAGTCAATTGGACATTCGTCTAATAATATCATTTATCAAAATCAATCAAAAGCAACGGTATTTATTAGTATTTAGCGTTTTCAGGATATATATCATCTGGGTAGGGTAGAATCAACTTTAGTGCTGGGTTGGAGATGCCTTCCGTGGCCGGTGTATTACTGTAATAGACAAGTCGTGCGTTTGAAGGCAACAGCGCAACAAGTTCACATGCATAAAGTTTGACAACACTCTGCATAAATACAGCCCAATACACATCAATCGCCAAATGTGAACCAACAGGGACCTGGTACTGCGAGTCTGCCGAGTGAAACAATTTCACACACTTTCACTGGCATCAATTCCCACTCTCTCCCCACCACTTAATACAGACAAAATACTAAAATAGAACATTTTATTATGATAATATGCAGATAAAAGAAATAATTAAACAAATATATAGTAATATATATCAGTATATAAGAACATCTTTTAAAAAACTTTTTATTATAAAATTTTTTTCTATAAAAATAAAAATTTAACCGATTTTTTATTTTTTAAATATAAATTAAAGAGTGAGTTTAGTTTTCTAAATTTTACTCTTTATCATAATTTTAAATAATAAATTATAAATTTTTATGTATTTTATTTATTATTTATTTCTTTTATTAAGTTTATTTGTTAAAAAAAATATATATTTTCTCTCTTAAAATTTAAAAAATCTATTAAATTTAAAAATAATTTATTTTTTATATTTAAAAATTAATAAAAATATTTTTTATTTATATATAAAGAATACTCTTTGAAATAAACAACATTACTATAAGGGGCAATTTGGTTCGGGGTTAAGTGGCATTATTGGGGTAATGTCATCTTATATTACTTGATTACCACGTTTGGTTGTCAAGTAATATAAGATATCAGTAATCTTCAAATACCAATAGTGGTTACTATTGGTAATATAAGAGATAATCTGATTACCTCCATTTTCTTAGGTTTTCTGAGATTACCAGGGTTATCTTTTTTTGTTACAATTTTATCCCTTATTAATAAAAATTTTGGACAATAATACCCCTACTTTAAAACAAATTTACATTAATATCCTATTTCAATTTTACCCTTGTTTAATTAAAATTTTGGACAATAATGCCCTTATATTTAAAATAATTTATAGACCACCACTACCACCAAGCCACCACCACCACAGCCACCCAGCCACCACCGCCGACAGCGGGTCAACCACCACGGACCACCGCCAGAAAATTGTCGGAGTCTCTAAAAACACTGGAAATTCTGTGGGAGGCTTCGATATGGCCGTTTTTGGCCATATTGATGGCCGAAAACGACCATATTGGGCCAGATCTATTTTGGCCATTTCCGGCCGGAAATGGCCATAACGAAGCCTTCCGGAGCCTCCCACAGAATTTCCTTCTTTTTTAGGGGCTCCGGCGATTTTCCGACGGTTGTTCGCGGTGGCGGCAGGAGGTGAGGGTGATTTCGTCATGAATTAAAGTTTTTTTATAAGCAGGGGTGTTTTAGCTAAATCTGAAATATTGGGGGTTAAAAAAATTATTCAAAAATTAATAATAAAAATAATATTATATTAATATTTAAAAGAGAGTCAATTTAGTAATTTAAATAACATACCCACCAATTTATTTCCATAACCAAACATATTAATATAACATACCCACCAACTAACCAAACATATTTTTTTAAAGATTTCCAGTAATCTTCTAAGGTAATCTATCTTTTCAGTAATCCAATATTCCCAATAATCTAACATTCCTGAACCAAACACCCCCTAAATGTTTGAGGTAAAATCATGTAAGAGAGTCTCGTTAGCTCACATGGATATATAATCATAGATGATTATTTATAAAATAAAAAGATTTACAAATATGTAACTATACGTGTAATTATATGATTGAACAACTCTATGGACCCCACCACTTGATACGACTCTCTGTAGACTCTAGAGCTTTCTAATTTGAATCGATTTCCACTTAGATGTGCACTCGCCTCTTTATTCTCTCTCATAACACCAAGCAAAGGAGAGAAGATTAATCCCAAAATTGATTAAGAAGAGGAAGAAGAAATAGTAGCCATCAATGGCTCCTCAACTTTTATCTTTCGCCAACGCTACCAAATACTCCTTATTACCATCCTCTGAGAATCTCTTGATGACCAAATCATTCAAGAGAAACAAAACCAAGAGCCATTACCCCTTTCAATACAAACCCCTTTCCCCAAAAAACCCTACAACCCTCATCACATGTTCATCTGTCTCGAATTTGAGTACTCCAAAAGTTGAGAAAGCAATAGAAGAAGAAGACCTACAGTTTGAAGAAGAAGAGCTAGAGTTTGAAGAAGAAGAAAAGCCATTAAACGAGATATGGAAGGAAATCCAAGGTTCCGACAACTGGGAAGGGCTTTTAGACCCCATGAATTCTCATCTCCGCAGAGAAATCATTCGCTATGGCGAATTCGCGCAAGCCTGTTACGACTCTTTCGATTTTGATCCTCATTCCAAGTATTGTGGCACATGTAAATACCATGGCGCCCATTTCTTCGAAAAGCTCCATATGGCGAATCATGGCTACCAAATAAGCAGGTATCTCTATGCAACCTCTGACATTAATCTTCCGAATTTCTTCCAAAAGTCCAGGCTGAGCAGCGTTTGGAGCACGCATGCAAATTGGATGGGCTACATCGCGGTCGCCACCGATGAAGAAGAGGTCAAACGGCTGGGAAGAAGAGATATTGTCGTTGCATGGAGAGGCACGGTTACTTATCTTGAATGGATTTACGACCTCAAAGATATTCTCTGTTCGGCGAAGTTCACTGACGATCCCTCCATCAAGATCGAGCTCGGATTTTACGATTTGTACACCAAGAAAGAAGATTCTTGTACGTATTGTTCGTTCTCCGCTCGCGAACAGGTCCTTGCTGAAATCAAAAGACTTCTCGAATACTACGACGGGGAAGAAATCAGCATCACGTTTACCGGCCACAGTCTCGGCGCAGCGTTGGCGATAATAAGCGCTTATGATGTTGCAGAGTTAGGCCTCAATCTCACCAACGACGTCGATTCAACTAGAAATGAAACAGAAATACCAATAACAGTTTACTCCTTCGCTGGTCCTCGGGTGGGGAACCTCAAGTTCAAAGAGCGATGCGATGAGCTTGGAGTTAAGGTGCTGAGAGTTATCAATGTTCATGATAAAGTCCCCACAGTGCCGGGGATTCTGGCGAACGAGAAGCTACAGTTTCAGAAGTATTTAGAGGATGCAACGAATTTTCCGTGGAGCTATGCGCATGTTGGGGTGGAGCTCGCATTGGACCACAAGCACAGTCCGTTTCTGAAGGACACGAAAGACTTCGGCTGTGCGCACAATCTTGAGGCGCTGCTGCACTTGGTCGACGGCTACCATGGCAAGGACAAGAGGTTTGTGTTGGCGATGAAGAGGGATATCGCGCTGGTTAACAAGTGCTGTGATTTTTTGAAGAGTGAGTACGGTGTTCCGCCGCATTGGCGACAGGACGAGAACAAAGGGATGGTGAGGAATAGCGACGGCAAGTGGGTGCTACCAGAGCGGCCGAGATTGGAGGCCCACCGGCCGGAAGATACGGCCCACCACCTTAAAAAAATACTCAAACGCGCCACCACCACCAATGGTTCGCCACAATTGGGAGCAATTTGATAATTTAGCATCAATGGTAACTTCCAATTAATTAACTATTAGAAATCAAACCTTAATTAATTGTTGTATGATATAAATATTTTCTTAAAAATCATTTATGTGTAATGTATTAATTAATGTAGAAGCTTAAGACTTGTTTAAGTTTTTTAATTTTTGTGAATAAGAAACTCTTTGATTTGATAGAACGAGTAGAGATCACTGGTAAAATGTTGTACATATAAAAGATATTATATTTCTTCTGTGGTCTGCGGTTGATTTGATTTGTTTTGTGTTGCTTTCTTTTCTTTGATATTTTCGTAATTCTACTGTTGGCTAATAATTAAAGGCAAAAAGATGTCGATTGTTAGTTTGTTACCATAACCTATCTGATAATATCTTATCGTATCAAATATTTAATCAAATTAATTAAGAACTGGACATTTGTTAATCGGCAGTAATAATGATGTCCACAGTTGCTTGTGGGAACACTGTCCAGTGCCCACCGTGATATTAAACTGAGCTTATTTACTGTGTTAATGATTTCTAAAGGCTTAGTTTGAGGGAGGCTGTTGGAGATTAAACTGAGCTTATTTACTTTTATTTAAAGTCCAGTTTATTTAGTCTAGTTAAAATAGGACTTGTCATAGTTTCATAAAGTTTAGTACTAAAGTTTCTAGTTTAATTAGAAGGGCAACTGACTCACGCATACCCAAGATTTTTCGTAACGACAAAGTGATATCTAAAAGGTTTTGAAAATAACAAACAGGTACCTTTCGTCCTGTACTGTTAGTGATTTTTGTTTGTTAATAGTTAAAAGACTAAAAAAGTTTGATATTTTAGTTTTTTATAAATTTAAAAAATTTCTAAAAAACCCCCAGGTTTGCTAATTTAACTAAACACCCACATATATAAAAAGTTTGTTAAATGACAAAAACATTCCCACCACCTACACTGCTAGATTCCGGCCACTACCGCTGGAATCTGGCTGGAAATTGCGTTACAACACAGACCCGTCGGATCTATGTCGTAACGCGTCGATCTGGTCTTTTCTGGTCAGATCCGTGGCTGATCTGGTCGGAAAAGGCCAGATCTGGCCGTCGACGCTGCAGATGGAGTTTTGCGGCCTCGATGGCCAGATCTAGCCGTAGATCTGGCCTTTTTCGGCCAGATCAGCCATGGATCTGGTCAGAAAATGCCACATCGACACGTTACGACACATATCCGACGGGTTTGTGTCGTAACGCAATTTTTCGGCCAGATTCTGGCGATGGTGGTCGGAATCTGACACTACGGGTGGTGGGGGGTGTTTTTGTTATTTAACAAATTTTTTATATATAGGGGTGTTTAGTTAAATTAGCAAACTTATGGGGTTTTTTAAAAATTTTTAAATTTATTAAAAACTAAAATATTAAACGGTATTTTAGTATTTTCACTATTAACAAGCATAAATCACTAACAACACATGATGGAAGGTATCTGTTTGTTATTTTAAAACCTTTTAGATATTATTTTATCGTTATGATAAACCTTAGATATACGCAAATCGTTTGGCCTTAATTAGAACTAGGGTATAAGATTTTTAGTTGAAGTAGATAACTTCTATATATAAAGAGTGTATTTGTCGGTTTATGTTATTTCAATATTTTTTATATATTGTGTGTGTATATATATAAAGTAATAACATAAATACATTAAATTGTGATATGGATGACGTGACAGTGATACCATTCCATTACAAGTTGCTACACGTTTTTGAATGAGATGAAATTAAAATTGACATGTTTCTGACCAACCAGAAGTTTTGATTCTCTTTCAAGAAATATGTATTGTCAAAAGAAAATTATATGCGACGCATGCTAGGATAATAGACTGTGTTAAATTAAAGCTGCCTTACCTGCTACTTACAAGTACTCAAAAGCAATACAGGTTAAGGGACCACAGGTGCATTTTCTCATCGGTACTAGAGAATTGCAGAAGAGGTAGGACAGCTGTAAATGGGTGGAATTTACAGTCTTAGGTCGATTCTATGTCAGACGTAAAGGTCGTATTATCCATGATTTATTTAACTAAAATATACGTAAACTCGTTTAAACAGTACAGTTACTAAAATAAAAAAATTCTTTCTCTGAGTGAACTCATGTAAAAAAATTAACTCTATCTAACTAGCTAAAAACGATTCGAGTTGACTGACTATAATAATTTTTTATAGACAATATTATAAAATATGAGAAAGAGTCTTCTTTATGTTAATTGATCATATTATTTATACGTCAATTGGGTAAATTTCGTCAGGTAATAATTAAAAATTAAAAATACTATATAATATATATTTATATATTCTCAATCACATCAATCATTAAAAATAAAAAATACTATATAATATATATTTATTGGTTTAACATATGAATAATGTGGCATATCTCCAAAGGCAAACAAAACATAATGGATGCGCCCCCACAAAGGCCTACACTGCATTATATGAACAAAGTTTCAACAAAACGATCATGAAGTGGTGGTTGATTCATCTTGGTAAAAAAATACAGTGTAATATGACTAAAATCTAGAAAATGCAGTAATGAATGTTTACTACTTTGTTTAAATTTTGTATAGCCAGATCTTTAATTACAATAAGCGACTAAAATATAGATTTATGAGTGTATTCAGTCACATCTATATAAGCAAAACCTTTGGTGATTTCAAGCACTAGTTATCGTGCACGCTGTTGCTGATAGAGATCTTCTTCATCTAATTATTATTTGTTTGATTTAATTTTTCTCTTCCTTTTGGTTGTCAATTTCCACTCTTCCACTTTGTCTAAAAAAGGACATAGATGGACCTCCACTCTTTATGATATTTCATTTTAAAAAGAGATGACGGAACGTGCAATATTAGAAGATTTGTAAATGGGAAGATGAAGATAGACACTTTTGTAGTGTCATTTGGGTTCTAACGTGCTCGTGTGCGTAAGAATATACTTAAACTTGTAAGATATTTTTTATAAAGATATTTTTAAAAAGAGATTATGCAACAAATTGACATTGTTGTCAAACATAACGTGCAATATTAGAAGATTTGTAAATGGGAAGATGAAGATAGACACTTTTATAGTGTCATTTGGGTTCTAACGTGTTGTTAACAATCCAGTATTAAATGAATGCACGATTAGTGGAGTTAATTAATATGATCTTGATATATATAGTAAGCTAAAATCATGTTAATTGAAATTGTGTTATTTACCTTCTATGTAATGATGTTGTATATATTTTACATTATTTGCTTTCCTTACATGTTACATTTATACTTGTATAAATTGTGATACATTATATATGAATACATAATCAAATACAAAAGTATTATTTCTCTCTATTTCTTGTTGTCTTTTTCTCATGGCATACTCAGCAACTAAGTTGCTTCTCCTGCCTATCTAACCTGTCCTTGACATACTTTGGTAGCCTTACTACCCTCTCTTGCCACTCTCAATTCCAGTGTGCGTAAGAATATACTTAAACTTAAGATGTTTTTTATAAAGATATTTTCAAGTGAACTTGTGACGATCACTTATAATTTTTTTTTTTAATTATAGATTTATAATTGAATTTTACAAGATTATAAATATGAACTTGTAATGAACAATAACTTTTATAATGAATTTTATAATAACCCTGATAACTTATGGCAGTAAATAGAATTACGATATATTTATTGCTATTTAAATGTTTATTAACATTAATATTACTAAAAATTAATGATAAATTTATAAAATTCAATATATATATATATTTTTTTTTTTTACCAAAAAACACATTGATAGTACATAGAAGTTAGAACCCTAATATTCGAAACCATTGTCCTGATAATATCAAACTTCAACCACGGGGACTAAAAAAGAATTGTTTATTTAAAAGTACAAAACATCCTGTTATAAACTATAATCCATGTCTAATATTACCCAAAAGGATTAGTTATAAACTATAACTCCTTACAAAATAAAAAATCCTGTAAATATTTATTACATCAAAGAATAATTATTTTTAGCAGTTTAATTTATTGTGGGTGGTCTGGCAATCGATGGTAGACGTAAAAAACAAAGTGAAGCCAGCTTTATAACTTTGAAAATTAAGCCAATTCAATGAATAAAACCTAACCTATTTTTGAAATAAACGTGGTGTTATTGGCATTACCGATGATTTTGGAAGAAAGGTTTTTGCCTGAGCAATCCATGCATGCATAATTACTTCATTAATTTCGAAAGAAACAAAATAAAATAAAGAATGGATCTGTCGAAAAAAACTTTGTATTTATAGTCATTGAATCAATATTAAACAAATAAAATAAAAAATTGGATGGTTTTGAAAACTATATACATATCTTGAGTTCGAAATTGGGATTCTGCTGAACTTTACAGTTTCAAGAAATATAAAAGCAATGGTTATAAAAATTGTGTAGAAATAAAAACAACTAGAGTTTAGGTTATATTATGACAGTATTTTTCAAGTCTAAAAAAATCTTGTAAAGGATTGTACAGCCTCGCTTCTCTTGTTCTTTTTGCTCTTTCTCATCCGTTGGTTGTGTCTCAAGGTCCGGGTGAGAGGGAGATCCTCCCTTTCAAGTTTGTTCCTTTATTCTTTATAAAATTACAATTCACCAAAAATATTATTATATAAAAACTATTGAATAATTATTAAAATTGTTGACTACTTCAGTATTAATAAATTATACAGACACATTCAAAGGATTAGACTTAATCTTTTAAACATAGTATATAAATATATTTTTTTTTCTTGTTATGAGTGTGATAACAATTATAAAATAGTTTATTTATTATAAACGAGGGAGATGAGACAGTACTATAATAATATTGACTCAATTAGGTATAGTATATATCAAATAAATATGAGCAAATTATGAATATTATGTGATTTGTTTGTCGGCTATATCAGTTTCATATTTAGTTCAACAATGACATCAGCGCGTTGAAACGCCCGTAATGTCTTCTAGGGCGGCAGTCAATTTTGTGTTTCTCCGGAATTTATATTTTTAAATTATATATATATTGAAACAAAAAAATACAAAATAGTTAGGTTTGACTGCGATTTCCCCAGAGTTTGGAAAAGCGAATAAGATCTTCACCCCATTCAATATTATATATTATTTGATTTATTTGTTTGCATATTTTCACCTCAAAATTTGATATGTTAGGATTTTTTCAGGAGAAAAAAATAAAAATAAAACAAGTATTAT